GTGTGTGTGTGTGTGCGCGTGTGTGTAAATACCTCAGATTTGAACATGCACCTAAGTGTTTGAGTGCACAAGAGGGAGTTCCAGTGAGAGGAAGAGAGCAGTGTGTGTGTGTGTGTGTGTTTGCGTGTGTGTTTCTCTGGTGTATCTGTGTGTGTTTACGTGCAGAAGGTGGGCAAAGAATCCTGCTCTTCACTTCAAAATTTTCTGAAGAGCTCCTTTGTTTGAGTCCTTCTCTCTCTCACCCTGGTTCCCTCGCTACTTCCTTCCCTATGGAAGCCACTCAGGCCCTCAGATCTGCCCATCTGTGTGCTGACATGGAGGAGAGACAGACGAGCCGCAGGAGGGTGGACACCAGGAGAAAGACTCTGTGTCCACACCAAGCTGGCAAAGTTGGAAATGCATCTTTTCCCACTATGATTTAGCACTTCATTCACACTCAGCTGGCTTTTCTGACCCCTGATGTCTCAGCTTGTTGAAAATAATGGGCAGATGTGAAGACGTTGACATAAGCCTGCTCTTCGGTTAAGTGTCAATACAGATGATCACGCTGTAAAAGTATTATCATTCCACTCTCTTTATGTGCATTTCGGTAGATGACTCTGCGATAATAAACAAGAGATTTGTTCAAAAACAACCTGAAAACACTAGTGTGAACGTGCATTGTTTGCCCTTGTGCATCAAAATGGAAGAGCTAGTCAGAGACCCGGTCCACAACAGTAAAGGATGACAATATACTGTCAGAAATAATTTCCGCTGAGCAAAGAGACAGGTAGAAAAATAGAGATAGAAAGTGATACAGCAGATTATTCATGGAGATGGATAATTAAATTTTGGCTTGTTTATAAGAGTAAGTGCTGGAGAGAATGCGTCTGTGTCTGTATGTGTGTAATCTTTACCTAATGTGCATTCTCTCTCTCTCTCTTGCTCAGTGTGTGTGTGTGTGTGGGCGCGTGTGTGTGTGTGCAATGGGTTTACTAAATGAGTCTGCGTTAAACTCTGCCATGCATAAGGAATTGAGCTGGCTGTGCCCTTTAGAATTAAAGGTGGTGGGCTAGTTGAGAGGCAGACAGTGTGATATATCACTGTGGTCTGTGGTTAAATAACTGTCCTCCTATAATAGAGCTGTTCAAAGCAAACCAGTGATAAAAAACAAAACAAAAAAAGTAAAAAATAAGGTCATAACACTCATATAAACCACTTTCTCATTCACTTGAACAGGAAAGTGGTCTCAGACTTTTAGACCCCACTGTGTGTAAATTGCCACACGATGCTGCCTTTGTCAGCGGTCTGAAGAAACTGACATGGTGTTTGAAATGATGTTATAGGAACATATAACTAAAGCAGCAGTATCATGAGCATCAAAACACAAACAGAATTTTACCCATGCACCCCATCATTATTGATCAATTTGCTCTTTTCATCGTTATTGCAGAAGTCTCACAACCTGTTGCTGTTCTGCTAAAGTTTGTCACATATCTCGACAGACATCTATCATACAGACATCTGCAGATATGAAAGCATACTGGCTGCATTTATGAGCTGCCTCAGGCCCAGTTCCAGAGTCACATTACTGAGGGGGCTCCTCAAATTTATGAAGGTGCACCAGGAGTTACAGACCACATGGGCAAACAATGGCAATAAAGAAAAACAGCTGACACAGAGGCAGCGCCACTCAGATTCACTGACAGCTGGTGAGAAATTAAAGGCAGCTACCACCACTGAAACAAAACATCATATGAATTCAGACATATTGATTATTGATCTAGCACAACTTAGTGTAAACAAACAGGCAAAGAATAAAGACTTCACTGACTTCACTATTTTAAATTACTGTTCCTTTATGAAATCATTAACTTCTTAATCCAACAATTAGTGGCTAACAAGGAAATTACTAGAAGCTGAAAGTAACAACTGCTGAAAATTTACAAGCTTTATGAGTGTCAGCAGCCTCGGCGTCAGGTGAGGGACAGCTGATCCTGGTGTGACCCCACAGCTCCCACAGTTTTACTTTTTTTTTTTTTTTTTCACTCAATACAATTAACTCCATTTAAAAAAAGAGCTAGCGTGCATGACTAATGTGACAACAGTTTGAAAGACAGACCATGGGGCAGAAGTGTGGCTTCACTTTAGAAAAGAAAACAACAACACAAAGTGCAAAATATGTGCAAGGCTGATTAGTTGCACATCAAATCTGTGCAAACTTTTAAGACAGCACAACGTCAATCTGCCTTGCTGCTGCAGCTACTGCACATCGGTCGACGCTCAATCCACCTTTGGGTCAATAAGTGCAGTTTGACGTTCACTGTCATGTTTTTCTTGCTGGAGCATATTTACTTCTGCTTTACAATTTAATTGTGTCATTCTTGGCCAGCATTGTGTTTATTAATTACATATTTTCAAGAGAATTATTTTCCGCTTGAAATGTCTCAATTCAAGAGTATAATCCTTTTTATATTTTCTAGGTTTGACTGGACAAGGTGTTAATTTGTTGATAGTCATTGACTTGTAAAATATAGGGCAATTAAAGATGCATGTGCTTGTCACCACTAAAACAGTCTGTCCAAAACAACTAACAGTTAGTTCGATTAACTGTTCTAGATTGATCCCTTATATAATATTTTTTTAATGCACATGTCTGTGGATCGTACATTTTTATTGTTGTAAATAATAAATGCTGTTTATTTTGTGAACGTTCACTTAACACATTAAAGAAATAAGATATTTCTGTTAACTAAATATTTGACTGCTTATATTTATTTCAATATTTTATTCATTAGTTTTTTTTTACCATTCTGAATAAGCAGAATGAGAATCTGAATTGATAAAATTCGACGATGCCCAACCCTTGTACCCAGCTCATTGGTTGGCTTTTAGAGCCACTTTCAACATGACTTGCTAAATCTAAATCTTTCATCACACACACACACTGTACATGCACACACAACTTGGTACATTTGTGAGCAGCATGCTGTTGGTGTTTTTGTCACTGCATTAGTCTTAGGGTTTTTTTTGTGTGTGTGTGTGTGCGTGTGTGTGTGTGGTGTAAATCGGTTGGTGCCTCATTTCATTCCTGAGGTGCTGATGGAATGGAGTCCGTAGCGATTTTGTTTATCTTCGTCTCCCACATGCACACCACGGCTCTCGCCGCCCTTGACGCACAGTAACACAGAGTCACGCGCACACAGACACCGCTGACACACTGCCTTCTTTTTTTGGCACCATCGATTACCATCAGCCAATACCTGTACTTCCTTCTGTCTGCATCATCAGGTTTCAGGAAGTGATGATAAATGAACAGCGCTATCTGCCAGCACTGCTGTGGCCATGGATATAGCTTTCTAAAATCAAGACATTTTACCACTTGCTTTAATTCTTTTAAGGAAGGACAGGGATGGGGAAAATGTAATAAATAAACATTGGATAAATGAAGACTAAATAGCCACAAATTAGCACTGTGTAAGCAATTGAAATTGAGATACAGCTTCTTTAAAAGCTTAATCTGGATCCATGGGAGTAATCAGCATACTACATACTGATAATTAAAGAGTACACTCAAATTTGTTATAACACTATTAAATAGCCTCGCTTATCAAGAGCCGTTACCTTTGTTCTGTTTTGGAAGAACCTGGCATCATGTTTCCTTCCCTGTCTTGAATTAGCTGAAACTAAACTAACGTATGAAGTGTGTAAGATCCCCTGTGCATATATATATATATATATATATCTTTTTTTTATTTACTGTCAATTCGAAATCTTACAGCAGTCTACCCTAAAAGTCAAGGTCAAAGGAGTCAGGACTTTACATAAATAGATGCTATTATGCATGGACGAAACAATACAAGAAAAACACAGCGTCAGAAAACATCTCTGTGAAGCCTGCAACTGTCCATCAAACAGGTTTACTTCCTCGGCTGCAGACAGGTACAGAAATAAAGTGGATGGCCATGTGTGTGTGTGTGTGTGTGTGTGTGTGTGTGTGTGTGTGTGTGTGTATTTATCTGTACTGGTAGATATATTCAAAAGTAAGTGAGCTGAGACTGACATAATAAAGGTAAGGAGTAAGGATTGTTGAGAACACAGTGAGCCCTGCAATGATGTTTCTTTCCCCTCACACACATGCACGCACGAACGCATGCACACACACACACACACACACACACACACACACACACACACACACACACACAGATCCCTATCTTACTACATTTTTAAGGCCCCATCAATGACATAATGCATTCCCTAGCCCCTCATCCTAACCTAAACCTTATTCTTACCAGAACTAAAACCAAGTCTTAACCCCCAAACAGCCATTTAAACTTGTGGGGTCCAGCTTTTTAGTCCCCACAAAGCTGTTGGATGCCACAGATATAATAGGCCCCTGGTTTTCAGACCTTACACAGACACACACAATATCTATGTTATTGGGCATCTGAGTACACACGCTGTCATACTGAAGCCCAAAGCAAGCACAAACAATTCAATAATTTCTTTCTGTCTGTCTGTCTCTTTCACTCTTTTGCGATCTAACAAGCAAACACAAAGTGGCCTGTGTCAGAAAAACATTGATTTAGACAGGAGCAGGTGAAAGAGGTAAAGAGAAATATGATGCATCAGCAAGACAATATTACACTGTAAAACTGAGGAGGGACGGGAAAAAGCAAGTTGATTGAAAAAGAGGAACAGTGGGGGGATATTTGTCAGCTCTAACCCTGACACCTGGCTGGCAGCGTAGTTTACCTCTACACCTGCCCTTGTGGTAGATGAGCCCACACAGTGCCTTTGTTACTGAACCTGAAAGGGCACTCAGTGGCTCACCTGGGAGCCTAGCTTCAGGAGGGCGCCTAGGTTTATCAGAAGAGTATATACTAGAGTTAAATTAAAGAATTCTTGAATAATAAAATCATACAAATTGTGCCACCGTGTCAAACACCTGAACCAACACAGCTTTTTACCAAACTTTAAGAAGTACAGTATATCCAGAGGCGCTCGCGGTGTCTTACCTATCATTGGCGGAAGCAGGAGGAGATGTAGCTCCAGTTCCCCTTGGTTTATTCACCTTCGCATACAGCCTATCAATGTGGTCATCATCAGGGATGGCTCCAGGGTTGTTGACATGATTTCCATGCCCTGGGAAGGTAGTTAGGCTTTGGGGGGAAGCGGTGTGAGCATGGGTGTGTTGAATTGTGCTGTAGGGAGGTGACTGAGACGGTGGCTGCGGCACTGGACCCACATCTCGGTCCCTGAAGGATTGTATTCGGGCGTAGTTGGGGTCTGTGTCATCATCCTCAACATCTGGATACGCAGACCCGCCACCTCCACCTTGCCGGTCTCTGGACCGGTGCTCTCGCAGCTCAGGATGCCCTGCCTCGATTCTGAGAGATGGAGATGGAGAGCTAGTTAAGACTTTTACAAATATGGGAGAAAGAGGCAAGAACTGAAGCCAATATTAACCAAGCACATAAGTATATATTATGTTTGCTTTTGCATGTTTATGCATGTGTGATTGCGTCAGAGGGGACTGAGAGAGGACAAGGACTACAAAAGATAAAAATCACTAAGGCACCATGAGTCAAGAGCTTGCAAATGACAAGCATGGAGTACATAGGGATAGAGGGAGAGAATGGAAATAACAAAATGCATTACAAGGAAAGAAATGGCAGAGGTGTTAATGAAGTTATTTCAGTGGGTTCAATGAGTATAATGAGTGAACAATCATCTGTGATGGAGGAGAAGAAAAATATGGTCACAGAATTTTCCTCAATAACAAAAGACACAAAATCTTACTCTGAATATGTACACAATCTGAGTCTGAGCAAAAATATCATGATCATCTCATCTCCCCACCTTTCCCTCTCCTCTTTCATCCTCTCAAGCTCATGATCGCTCAGAATCTCTGACTTCTGTCGCTGCAGAGCTGCTTTCGCCTCCTTCTTCTCCTCTTTCTTCTTTCCAAATCTGGACAGAGAGAAAGAGAGACACAAGACACACGGACAAAGGGAGAGAAAAGGAGAGAAAAAAACGTCATATTATAACAACTCTGTATAGAGAGTTCAAAAGTCTTCAACAGAATGTGGGACTGTGGGACGGGGTGAGGAACAAACACCACATTAACACTGTTCTTACAACAAACAGGGACTTTGTAAACCATGCAAGCACAGTGATATGAACGCAGACAGTCACACAGTGTTATTTAGTCTCAGAGCTTCTGGTGCAGCAGTGACTCAGTGTCAAGACCAATAGAGTCGGTATGAATCATCTCAGCTTCTCTCCCCTCTCTCTCACAGACACATGCGAGTAAATATAACAAGAAACACGCAGAGAGATAAATCAAAGGTAAACCAAACTCAACTTCTTGCTGCAACTTAAAAACAGCATGACACTGATCGATACCACTTCCAGCTGGTTGGTGCCTTTTAAAAACTGGTGGTAGCGGATACCATTTATGGTAAGCAGCTGCCATAACTAAACACAACTCTTCAGCCTGCGCTGCTACTGCTACTAGACAACACCCCGCATTAACATGCATCTTGGGTCAGGTCAGACTAGTGCGGACTAGAGAGACCAATACTTAAGAACTGATGAAGCCGCTTGGATAAGAGGCGAAACGTCTTCCACAGACAAATACAAGTCAAGTTGCCTTCGATTTAAATTTGAGAGAGAGATCTTGGGTCAGCCAATCACAAGTAGTCAGCTCTAAGTTCAGCGGTGAATGCACCTAGAAGCACCGAGGATGTATTTGAGATCCGATCACTCAGACCGCATTCAGAGCTGGTCTGTGCCACATGCGGCCACATTCTTTTAGCAGTGTGAACGCAAATGTGTCCTGAGCCACAGTGAAGGACGGCCTACTCAACTGACGCCCTCTGCCACAGTCTGATCAGTCCTGCCACATTTTCATAACGTACAGAAAATACTTTTCACAGCATTTCCCATACTTTTATTTATTTGTGGTGGCCTGACACAATATCAACATTGACTGCCACCTACTGATTTTCAATTTTTTTTTTTTTTTTAACTATTTCCGATGGGTAACATCTTATTTCCCTGCTGTGCACAGCGCAATGCAGTTATTTGCTCAGTTGCTCCTTGCCTCTCTCCCTCTCTCTCTCTCTTAAACACATTGACAACAGACACATCTGTCATAGTTGAACTGGCTAAAAACAACACCGCATTTGGTCCTTTCAGACAGAAACGATGTTCCTGTTTATTTGCATATACAGCGAGGAAGTGAGATCCGATCACAAGTGGTCACTCAAGTGAGATGCGTGTGGAGACACCCTCTAATGCCAGGTGTGAACAGATTCACTTAGAGCTATCCACTTGTGATTGGATCACCGAAGATGTATGCCATTGCCATAAACACGGCCTTACTAGCTCTGCCCTGCGGTAAACGCTATTGCAAAGTCACATTCAAATTGAAAAACTCTCACAACTTAATTGCTGCTTTCCCCCCCCCTCACAGTCTCCTCTTGTCGTTCTTTCCTCTTTGAGATGGACGACACCCCAGAAAACCCCAGCAGCTATGCAGTGACAAGGATATGGTTAATTGAGACAGTCAAACCTGCTAAATATTTAATATCTCCAACCTGCAAACTGTGACCTTATAACACATCTAATGTTTTATTTATCTCGCGGATTTATTGATGTTATATCCTTTTGTCTACAGTTCCGCTCCTCACTGCTGCTTTTGCATTCTCAAAGTATCAATATACCTGTTTGTGCATTATTTAAAACAGCATTCATGGTCATTTGAAAGTGTGTGATTTCGCGTGTGACCGTTATGATGTTTCAGCATGTGCATGCCTGTGCATTGGTGTAGTTTTAAAAATATGATGTAGTATGTATACATGCTGAGCTATTAAGTTTCACTGAAATTTTTAATGTGGACTGCTAAAGAAGCCTATTTACCTCCTATAGAGCAGAACTCAATGGGCAATGAAAGGCTACAACCGCGTGTGTGCATTAACAGCGTGCATGTGTATCTGTCTCACAGGGGGACAAGCCTTCCTCTAATTACTGCTACCTACGGTGTTAGAGGCTTACCCTTCCCTTCAACTCTCTCCCTTACCTTCACTTACCCCTCTTTCACCTCTATTCCTTCTTACCCTTTTCTCCCGTTTTACCTCATCACACTCTCTCTTTTCTCTCATTACCCTCATTTCTCTCTATCCATAGCTCACCTTGCCTTCACCCCTTCATCTCGCCGTCTCGTCTGACGTTTTGCTCCTTTCCCCTAGCTATCAAACACTTTTCTCACTGCACTTAACCTCCCCACCATCCCTTCCTCTCCTGTCTTCCATGCTGTCATCCCCGTGTCCTCTCTTGCCTCACAGTGAAGACTGATTACAACAAGCAAGGAACCATCTGTAACTATGGAAGATGTACCTATATATAGAGGCAAAGCAGGAGATATGACACCTACAGCTTCATTAGGCCTGCTGTCTCTCTCCAGACCCTCTTGATATTGTTATTATTGGGCTATCCTGGGAAGCCACATGCATGAACACACACACACACACACACACACACACACACACACACACACACACACACACACACACACACACACACACACACACACACACACACAAAAGTGAGTCCATTTTTCTGCCATCAACCCTTTCATCTATGCGCACCGCGCACACATTCAAACACACACAGCATACAGTATGAACAGACTCAGGCTAATAGGGCCTAGCATGGAGCTCAACCATAACAGACCCCACAATGGAGGTAGTCAGTCCTAAATGGGCCCACCGTCGAGATGGAGCTAATAGTCCCAATGATGGAGCACTTAAAGTCTAACAGAGGTCTGATATTATGACCAGCTGGAGAGAGCAGAGAGAGGAAGAGGGAAAAGAAGGGGAAAAATATGGGGAGGAGTATAATATATAGCATCAATAAGAGGTAGAGAAGGTAACAGACTTAATGCTCAAAGAGTGAGGATGGTGTTCTAATTGTAACCTCTTTGTAACCTTTTTGGTTTGTGGCTGAATTCTCCTTTTATCTTGCTCTATGAGGTTCTTCTAGGGTAAACATAACTTCTCAACAAAAATTTTCTCATGAAAGTCGATTATTCAGCTGTCCATCAGCACAAATATATATTGCCACTGGACAATGTATACAAAAGCATGCGTTACATTTACACACACACACACACAAACACACACACACAATCACACACACACACCACACACATCAACAGAAGCAAACATGGGGCTAGATGGGAGGTGGAGTACAGCAGTGCAATGATTAAACCAGGCAGGCAACCATGCATTCATTATATCATACATTCTCATAAATTCAACCACTTTAAATCTGAAAATGAACAGCATGTACGCATACTTACAACACACAAGCGACATCACAATACAACCGCACTGGCAACAACGAACAGCGTCTGTTCCGCTCTCCGGTTTCTGGTAGACTCTGTCCTCTCCCAATCTCACCTAATACGTACCATATTTTTCACAGCCAGTCATACACACATATACCACCATACACATACACACACGTCACAAACACACACACACACACACACACACACACAACCACACACACACACACACACACAACACATCACACACAACGATGACAGAACAGCTAGAGAACCATACTCTCAAACCCATCCTGGTAATTAGTTTGTGGACCATTTAGCTATGGTTGTAGGTATGTATATTACGTCGCGTGTGTGTGCATGCATGTGTGTGTGTGTGTGTGTGTGTGTGTGTGCTGTTGTGTAGTGTGTGTGTGTTAATATGAATGTTTAGAGGCAGAGGGTTGCACAGATTTTTTTTGAAAATATCAAAACATCACATTTGAGCAAGAAAGAGAGGAGGATACACAGATCAGGAGGGTCACACAACTGCAGTCAATTTGGAGAGAATACACAAAACACACACACACACAACATACCACACACACACACGCACACACACACACACACAACAGTACAGTCTGAGAAAGATTCACAGCAACAACCATGCCAACTACATGTTCAACCATCTGACTGTGTGACCAATCACCACATGAATATTCACAATGGTAAGATGGCTTCTACCATGTGCTTCACACACAACAACACAACAACAACACTCCATAATCCATAACCGAGACAAAAATAAAAAATTGTATTAAATGGACAGGATTTAAAATTATAGAAAATTTTAGTGATATACTGACATACAGGAGTGTACTCAGTTTTGTCATATGCTGTGCAACGATTAAACGAGGCGTGTGTTTTTGTGTGTCCATGTGGCCTTTCGTGGGAGGAAAAAAATAGAAACAGAAGGCAACACACTTGAGATATCACAGCATGGCGGGGAAAATAAAGGCCAAATAAAGACCAACAAAGAGACAAGTCCTTTCTCCTGCCACTGCTGTCAGTTTGAGCACAGAGGGTGTCTGAAACAATACTCATCCGAGTCTATTTGTCTCACATGCACGCGCAAGGAAAGATAACAAAGCAAATAAATAAATGGAAAACAACTTGTATTGTCTGATAATAACGATGACGATGACATTAAACTACTACTACTTAAATGTGTGAAGTAGAAAGGCACGTGTGAAATGGAAGAAGTGAACTTCAAAACTATAACTTTATATTCACATGCACACACATGCACACACACGCACAGGCACAACGTCCAGAGCAGGTTTTACAGCTTTGACATTATCATCTGAGCATCGTTTCACAAGGAATATCAGTCAGAACAGCTGATAAGCAGCCAGTTTAGATGAATACATTACGTCTTGTTCTGTCATCAGTGGGAACAGAATGATGACTCGTGAATATTCATGACCTAACACCACAATCGGTATGGAAAGTGTATGGCTCACTCATTTGCATGTGAGAAAGATCTAATTATTACAAATACATGCACAGGTTTCTTAAAACTTCCATCTGTGTTGGATAAGGTAGGAAAAAAAACAAAACAAAACAATATTCAACCTTT